TGATAGTGATAATTAGTTAATAATAATATAGTATAATAATTTCATCAAATATTATTATTAATATAATATTAACATTAAAAGATCAATTAAATTTAATATTTAACTTATTTGCCAATAAATAACAATATCAATAATATTCACCAATAAATAATATTTAATTCCATCACAAATAACTTCACCACCAATAAATAATTATTAAATCATTCCACAAATTGATAATTCTTTCATTTGTTGTAAGACAGTCTCAACCTTATTATCACTATCTGGAAAATGTTTTTGTAGGTCATTTAATCTATCGTAACTTTCTTGACAAAATTTCAATTGTATTTTCACAAGTGCTTCAAAAGATGGATCTATATATGGAACTCTTAGATCAATTAATTTAGGCAACTCTTCTACCAATTGTCCATTCAATGACTCATATTGTAATCTTGTCTCATTTAATGCTTCTTCTGCCTAGAAATTATATATAGTATAAATAAAAAATTAAAGACATATATTATAATAAATATGTTATTGTCTCATTCATTACTTACTCTTAATAATTTACTTGAATCTTCTGGTTTGTCGGATTTGTCAGATTTGTCAGACTTGTCAACCAATTTTCTAACTTTTGCACGTTGAGCATCATAATCCAATAATTTCTTGTCTCTTTTCTTTATTGCCTCATTTATTTCTGGGAAATATGCACAAAATCTTCCAATAGGATTAGTCACCGTATGTTTGTAAGGTTCATCCTATATAAGAATAAATAATGGATTAATATCACAGCTTAACATAATCTAATTATTATATTATGTAATATGATAATAATTAATTGAATTATTTGTTACAAACTAAATATGTTCTACAATTATGATCAATCAATTCAACCGTTTCTTTATATTTATTTCCAACAAAAATTGGCTCTGATGAATCTTCGTAAAATTGGTTAATTGTTTCTGCTATTTTTAATTGTGCTGTTGACATTGCTAATTAATTAATTTTAGATAATTTGAATTAATGTAAAGTTTGGAAAACTACAATGTCACAAATAAATTTATGCACTAACCATGCATGGATTCTAAATATCCTTTAGCTTCTTTATGAATTTTTTCAGCCTTTTGTTCAAGACTTTGAGGGAGAAATTAAAATTATAACAATTATGATAATTAGAATTATTAGAATAAATCTTGCAATCAAAAAAATCATACAAACTTTTTTATTCGTTTCTCCTCTTCGTCAAAATTTTTATCAATCTACAATTTTCATTATTAATAATATTATTATTCATTATTCATTATTATAATATTTAATAATGCAATGCAATGCTAATAATTACTTACCGTTTTCTCGATTGTGCCAATTTTTTGTGATAACTACTCAAAGTAAAAGCAAATAAATTATTAATTAACATGATTCCTGATGCGTCTTTTTCAATTAATTATTACCTTGGTTTGTGTACGATCAATTTTCTTTTTAAATCCAGACCTAAATATAATCCAAAATACATATTATATATAAATATAAACAATTGTTAGAAACAACCTTGAAAAAAGAAACTTACCAACTCATTTTCTTTTAGTTGATTGCAAAAAATTATAACGGCAATAATTTATTATTTATATAAATCAAAATAATTATATGCAACAACATTACACGAAATGCGTTAAAAAAAAACAAAAAACCGTGTAATAGCAGCGGGAGGTTTCGATCCTCCGACCTCGGGGTTATGAGCCCCGCGCGCTTCCTCTGCGCTACGCTGCTTAATTACAAAATTTTCCTTCAATAATTTCTTATTATTCATGTTACAATTACAAAATATATTCTTGTATCACGTCAATCTCTAAAAAAATGGATTCCATATATATAATGAATTTAATACTTGGCTATAAAAGGTTTTGCAAAAGTTCATAAAACAACATCTTACGTAATTCCAAAAATAAGATTTCATAAGAGTTAAATATTTTTATTATTGTTAAATAAAAATTTATCATAAATATTAGATTAATTTATTGCAGTCAAACCTCGATAAGCCGAACTTTTGGGAATCACAAAAATATCAACATTCGGTTTATGAAAAATGATTATTATTATTATTAATTGCCTAAATAAAGATGTATAAAATAATAAATTTTATTTGCGAATGATTTGGGTGATTGACAGAGGAGTAAACCGAATTTTATCATTATAAGACGAATTTTAAAACCAATTTACGATCATCGCAGTCGCGTTTACTTCGTCGAAAATTATTTCGTCGACAATCATTTCGTCGACACCCATTTCGTCGAAAGTTTGTTTCATCGAAAGTTCATTTCGTCGAATGTTCGTTTCGTCGAAAGTTCATTTCGTCGAAAGTTTGTTTCATCGAAAGTTCATTTCGTCGAAAATTATTTCATCCTCGAGCCAGAGACCGAACGAGTTAGATGTGAGGAGTGTGGGAAGCTAGTTAAGAAATTAGGTGAGGAAAGCGGAGTGTGTGGGAAGTGTGAGAAGAAATTTGTTTTTTTTTTGTGACGAAATGAACATTCGACGAAATGAACTTTCGATGAAACAAACTTTCGACGAAACAAACTTTCGACAAAATGGGTGTCGACGAAATGACTGTCGACGAAATGATTGTCGATGAAATGAATCAGACCCGTTTCTTGGCGGGACACCTCAAGTACCATATTTCTTTATTTCTTTTCATGTTATATAGATATTGCATGCAGCTTGGAGGAAACAAAAGACACTCACAACAACCAAAAATTATCTGCAATAATTAACATGTGCAGTTGAGGGATAAAACAGAGGATATCTACCAGAAATCATCTGCAATAGAATAGTATTTAGTAGCTAATACTAAGAATAACAAGAAAGCAGTTAGTGGCTAATACTAATAAAAGGAAAAGTCAAGATCTCAGAAAAGCATATATTATTGGACATAAGGTTGCTTGCCAAAACCTCTTAATGACTACTGAAACTCTAATAACAATTAGTGTGTAATCTGCTGAACTCTAATAAACAATTAGTGTGTAACTCTGCCAATTGGAGTTTTGGCAACCATAATTGGACACTAGAAAGAAAGACTAGTGCTATAGAAATACCTATTTTATCAAAAACTCAGATCACATGCTCACAGTGGAGACTGTAGTTAGCCACAATTCAATTTTCTTATGTTTGCAACTGCAATTCAATTTTTATATGCCACAATTAGCAATTAATTGATGAACCACCTTCAATGTCATCATTTTCTTTTTGAATTTTCTAGCCTTCTTGGTATTGTAAAAGCTCAAGGGGCTGATAAGGGCAATCTCATGAATAAGGTTGCTTGCCGAAACTCATCCAGAAATCAATCAGCAGGGTTTCAGCAGGTTACACATTAATCATTTATTAGAGTTTTGGCAGAGTTTCGCATTTTGAGGTTTTGCCATTTCGGCATAGTTTCAACAGGATTTTTGATAAGAATTAATATAGTTTTGCCATGGTTTCAGCAATTACTAAGGAGGTTTTGCCCACAACCTTACTCATGAATTCAATCTATTGAAAACTGAAAACCAGAAATTTCCACTATTATAAAAGATATTAAAGTTTTATCATTTCTCATATTGACACCTACTCCTATAAATTACAAGTGTTAAGAGTATATTTACACTCATTTGTCAGAGATGAATTCAAAGGTATTACTTGTCCAAAACCAGGTAATACTGACAATTAATTTATGTTTTTTTTCTAGATTCTCTATGGTCTTGACTTATTGATTATGATTTACTTCCTTCTATGGGTTCTTTTTTATCCTTGAATAGTTTTGTTTATACATGCAGCCCAAAACTGTCATAAAGGGGGTTACACATGTCGTAAAGGGGTGTTACACTTATGTTTTTAATGGTGAGTGCCGTGATTGATTTCTACTTTCTATGGTGCGTATCACCTATACTCATCAAAAAATGCCGATCAGTCCGAATTTTTGAATGTATATCTTAACCTTATTTGGTCAAAAAAAAAAATACTATCACATGGGTTTTTAACAGTGTAAAAGCTAATTTTACTCATAATAAAGAATACAATCAATT